AAGAATAAAACTTTCTCACTTAGTGTCATTATTCTGGAATATAGATATAATGTATTTTGACATATAAAATAAATGTATCCCACATCCATTAACCTTTTATTGTTTACGTTTCCTGAAATTCTAAACAAACATAGACAGACTAACGTTTTTTATCATGATTTTATAGAATATATTAATACAAAGTGGTTACAAAGGAGATCCTAAATGTGCTGTCTGCAGTTTTTATTTACCCTTCTTTACCGTGATACACCTAAATGAAATCGACCGCAGCTGATTGTCCTCATAAATGGCCTAACGAGTAAATGGAGTCCTTTGTGTGATATCAACTTAATATAAATGCATCTGTTCTGTGAAAGCATTAGAGGTTTTTAGAAAAACAGTTTGTAAACAGAAAAAAAAAAAAAAATATTTTGGGAGGAAATAGATATATGGCACACATTTGCAATTGTAAAACATGGTAATAGAAGCATCATGCTGTGGGAATATTTCCCGAATCCGTAGATGGGGAAACTAATGACATTAAAGAGGTATTTTTCACGATATCACAGATCAACACCAACTTGTGCAAAAGTGTCAAAAGTAGAAGGAAAAAGATACACGGCATGTTTACCTTCTAAATCTATTCTAATTTTTTAAAGTGAAAATATGAAAAATGTATGGGTATTTCTTTTAACCTCCCCAGATTCAAAATTACCTCCAAACCTAATCACATTTTGTATGGAGAATGTCTGAGAACATCCACTTTCAACTTTGGCCAGATTCTGAGTTTGGAAGTGTTTTGCACCATCTAATAGGTTCTCTTCCAAAATTGCCATCTACTAGCTTCTACTTAGCTTCATCCTTTAGGAAAGTTTATTTTGCTAAAAGAAAAAATCAACACACCACAGCATAATGCTGCCCCTGCCGTGTCTCAAATGGGGTGGCGTGTTTGCGTTCCACTAAGGTAGAAATCAACAAAGGTGTTTGCTCTCTCCCATACAACGTAGATTTGGAGATTACATAATAAATATGTATCTCAAGTGAGTGTTTAGCCTATATCCTGCTTCTTCACCTTCAGAGGGAATCTCTGTATCAGCCTATAACCTAAAAGCTGGTTGCGATGTGATAAAATGTGAAACCGATGAAGAGGTGCGCACCCTTTTCAAGACCCCGGCTGGAAGGTATTTTCCCGACCTTTTGAGAGGTTTCTTTCCCCTCCATAACAAACTCCTCCTCCTCGCATCATAATTGAATCAACTCAGCCTGTCTTGGCTCAGGTTCTCTAGACAGACCTTGGCTCCACTCTCTGAGGAGGACACATGTGAAGCTTGTCTAATCCAAACAAACAGGTGAGGCTCCTATTAGTCCCCAGTTCCCAATGCAAGTGTAACTTCATTTTCAGTGTGAACTCACTCCCAGTGACTCATGGGAGAGCGACTTCAAAGCTGTGCTTTAAGGTTATTATCTCCGTCTCTGAATCCTCTGCAGGTTCTCAGCATATGGGAATGTTTTAACTCTCAGTTCCTTTTTATTTGCAGCTATATTTCTGCCATGTCATCTATTAAATATGACTGACCAGTAACAGATGTATCTATAACAGTTACCGTGATAAAGAAATCAAAATTCGGAGTGCCAGCATTACATGGGTTTAGAGTTTAGCCTGAAGCTGACGGACAGAGAGTAAAAATCAGTAGGAAGAAGAGCTTCCTTTCCCCCCTCATTTCTGTTTCACTTGCTCCTTCTTTCTCCTCTTCTCTGCTTTCTTTAAACCTCCCAACCTACTGCTGAGACGAATCCTCCTTTCATCCTCCTGGGCCACGAGGGCCCTGGTGTCTTTTCGCACAAAGCCTGACCATCGGTGACTCCTCGTCAACCCCTTGCCCAATTCATCAAGCGGAGGCCCACAGGGCATTCATCACCCCCACCACCTTTCATATAACGCACCAGCTGAAAGCCACCGTCACTCCTCTGACTTCAATGCAGCCGTGACACACCCTTAAGATTTATAGTGGCATAATTAGTAGCAGTGAAAAAGGCCTGCGTGCTTTGGAGGGTCCATCACTGTGTATTCCACTCTGAGCCAGTAACATCTGCTTGAGAATAGACTGCAGCACCTCCACAAAAGTTGATAAATTAGCCCGAAACAAGAAGTCAGAAAATTCATCTAAATCCTTACTCTGACATCAAAACAATCAAACACACTTAAGCTTGCTATTTGTCAGCCTTCTGTGGCGGCCAGGCACTGTCATAAATCCACGTTTCGCTGCAGGGAAGCTGCTGCAGCCTGCGACAGGCAGCTCCAAGGTGAGAACTCCCCCTCGGGGGGGCGGTGGGTTCTGTAAGCAGCTCGAAGGAGGTCTGAAATAACATGCTGATAGTTAAATGGTGTTGTGGATGTGATCACACACCCTCCTCCCATCAGGACCCGCTGTCACTGATATCTAAGGAGCGGCGAACTAATTAAAACACTCCTGGAGTTTGTTGTCGTTCGGATCATCACAGAAATAAAGGCCTCAACAAAACAGCTGTGTTTTTCTTTTCCTTTCCTTTTTTTTTTTCTCTACAACCTCAAGTCGGGACCTGTTGTTCCATTGTGCACAGAAGAGGTGCAAAAATCCCCAATCAGTCATAAATTATGATTATTATATCAGTTCTGTTTTGGGTATCTTGGTGCTTCCTTTCATGTGCCTGATGGCACAGATCAAACATTTTTAATCAGACATTAACCTGAGACCCTCACATCTTCTAAAAGCCTGCAAAAACACTGGAAACGTAGAAGCTTTAAGTGTTTTTTTCTAAGATGATCTAAAATATGTGCTCTAATGTCATTCATTTTGTCATGCGAGCAATATAACATATTTTGGGGGGATTTTATGTGACAGATGAAAGATGAACTTAGCGTCGTACATAATTGTGAAGTTGAAGGAATGTTTTTGCTTTTGAGCCAGCTTTCCTCTGATGCACCTAAATCAGTGCAGCCAAGTGGAACAGAGTCCACCTGTTTGTTATTTAATCTCAGCATGATTACAGCTGTTCTGTTAAGCCCTCAGAGGTTTGAACATTAGTGAACAACAGCATCCTGATGACCAAGGAACACAGCAGACAGGTCAGGGAGAGAGTTTTGGTGAAATTTAAATCACTTTTGAAATAAAACCTCAAGAGTTGAATAGCTCACAGAAAAAAATCTGAAATCGTCTGAAAATGGAAAAAGCACGGCTGAATATCAAATGTAGAGAACACGTTAGAGAAGCAGCTCAGGGGTCTGTATGTAAACCCTAGAAGAATTTCAGAGCTGCAAGAATCTGTTGAAAAGATAACTGTGCTTTTCATAAAACTGACTTCTACAGAAGGAAAAAGAGAAGAAATAGAAAAGTCCCAGTAGCATTTACCCACAGGCCAGGGTAGAGATGACCTGATCCCATATTGATATTGATCCAGTATCAGCCATTAGTAAATATTCAGTCTTTATCTAAAATATCTGATATAAGCACCCTTTACATAACCAAGTGGTTAAGAAGAGATGGATTGCTTGTTCTTATACTAATTGTTGACTATTTTTTTCTCTGTGTATCGTCACTTGATCAAGCCTTTTCTAATAACCCACACTACAAAATGAGTAAGAAAAGTATGAATGGTTTGTGTATATATATATTTTTGAGTCAATGTTGTTATGGTATTAGTTGAAAAACTTGTAACAGGACATCCCTAAGCCAGGTAAGAGTCATGCAAAGGTGGAAAACGGTGGTCTTAACTAATAACATCAAAGGTTGAACATTTGCTAGAGTTGTCACTCTTAGTAACTGAACTTTATTGATCTCACAATGGAGAAATTTACCTCTGCATTTAACCCATTCTCTTGGGGAGCAGTGGGCTTCCATTATAGGGTGCACAGGGCAGTGGCGGTCCAACCAAATGTACCAGGGGCCCAGTAGGGGGCCTTGGTGTTTTCAGACTGAAATAAAAAACAGGTCAAGGTATTAAAATATATTAAGATAGCTGCATTATATGACATTTCTATTCAATCAGGTTTAATTAAGATTCTATGTCTTATTGAGTCAATATGCATTCATAATTTAGGATTTTTACATATTTTTGACTTAATTTAAGTTAAAATTACCGTTTTTATAAAATCTGAATTAGAACTCAAGAAAAGCTGATAAATTCAGCTGTAAAAATACAAGTTTTTTTAGTTTTTTTACATTTAGCAGATGAAAACTGGGATCCTGTCTCAATACAACTGAAGCTATCACCTTATTGTTTTTAAATAATTAGTAGGGCAGAATTTGTAGAGAAAAAAACGAAATAGATCCAAAATACCTATTGGTAACCATGTCTGTTCCAGCGCATGTCATCAATTCCTTTGAATATTATGTATAGCAGGGGCCAGGATATGATCTAGAGGGGCACTAGCCCCCGTTTGGCCTCTGTCTAGAACTGCCCATGGCCCTAGGGAGCAGTGTGGGTTTAAGGCTTTTACTCAGAGACCCAGAGGGGCAGTTTGGGGGAGTGGGGCTCGAACTCAGAACCTCAAGATTCCAAGCTCTATGCCCTAACCACTAGGCCCTCACTCCCATGTTTGTTACACAGCTGTAGACATGGTGGTGGCAGTATGAGGCTGAGGGCATTCATCTTTATTAGAGAATGAACAGCTGGTCAATAGAGATGAAACGCTCTAGAAGGGCCTGAGAAAAACTGCAAAAACCTTTTTTTATTTTAGAGTTCGCATACACCTAAATCACATGGCTAAAATATACATGACCATTTCTGATTTCCAAATTAGAAAAAGCTCTAAGAATACTTTAACAGGGAGCTCTAAATTTGATAGTTCACAGCTTAAAAAACGATTAAAAGTCATGGGAGATATCTCTTCAAAGACTAAAAATACAGCTCTTCATCACAGTCTGGATTGCATCCCTCCCTCCTTGCAGATGTCAGCGGTTTAAGCTGTTGGTTTTCTGGAGTTTACTGCGAACTTTGTGCGGAGGGTAAGAAAGCACCTGCTTCCAGTGAAGAGGTGGGGAAAACAGTCCGAGGAAAAGCTCCAACTTATACTGCTTGGGTCCTCAAACGTGCATGCAGGAGGTTGGATTAGTATGAGCGCGTGCAGGGGGCTCTTTGAGAGCCCTTTAGTGTAAATGTTACTTTTGCATGTTTACTTTCTTTTTTTTTTTCAGGATTCTGACCCAAAAGCCCAAATAGAAAAAAAAATACCCTGAGTGGTTAAAGAGGGGCTACTGAAGTTAGTGCTTATATATAAAGCCAGTCGTTCTATGTGTGTTTTAACCATGATAGTCTTCACATCTGCGTCGCACTTTAATGGACCACAGCGTGTTACCACATTTTTCTGCCACTGGAAGGGCGTTTCGGTTTTAACAGACAGCGGAAAACCACAAAGAGGGAAGACAATACATTCTGGAGACCTTTCTGCACATGGATTAAATTAACTGGAACATGAAAAAAAAAAAAACTTTATACCTGAAAGATCTTTGATCTAATTTGCATCATCAATCGCAAATGTTGGCCTGAAAGTTAGGATTAAGTAAAGCAAACTGATGCGCGTAAGAAGGGATGCCAGCCAGGCGTGGCTTGAATCTCAGTGTCCAATGTGAGAATGCGTGGGGAGTATGTATATATTAGAGTCTTTCCATTTGATAAACACAGATATTAAACCCATGATTATAGCAAAGGACTATCAATAAACTGAGAGGACTTCCCTGAGTTTGGAGGAGCGCGGCGCGCAGGGGACGCTCTTTTTTTTTCCTGGGTGCATGGACCGGACTTGTGTGTAAAACTTTTCTCCCTCCGCATCTCGCTGCTCATACATCTCAAATGCCTTCGCTTAATGTGACAGCTGTGCAAACGATGGCAGAGGTCGGGAGTTTGCTGGGGACGCTCGACTTGGATTTACAGACCTTCCCTGCGCTGGTAAGCGCACCCGTGCCGGAGACTCCGGTGGGGCTGAGCGAGCGGCTGGGGCAGATTGAGGGCAGGCTGCAGCAGGGGTCGCCCACAGATTTTGGCCACCTTAAGGGGATCCTAAGGCGGCGGCAGCTCTACTGCAGGACAGGCTTTCAGCTGGAGATATTCCCCAACGGCACAGTGCATGGGACAAGGCAGGACCACAGCAGATTTGGTGAGTTTCTTCAGGTCTTAGAATGAATGTAAAGGGGATGCGACTTATTTGAGTCAGGAAGATTTATTTTTCCCTGTTAATATCCAATTTTAAAAAGTGTTGTTTTTTTTAATGCTAATTATCTACTCAGTCACTATAATTTCTGGCATCTTGTATATTTATTGATTTTCATACATATAAAGGGAAAAGAGGCTCAAAACCTTCTAAAGTTTTGGAAAATATGAGGATCTAATAGTTTTATTTCTTAAAGAAAAAAAAAGCATATCTTCAAATCAGAGAAAGGTTCTTTGCTGCGGCGCATCATCCCCGGTGAACTCGCTCGTGCGCACTGTCCCTTCCGCGCGCAGCTAAGAAAGAGCCGCGCGGCTTTGTCCAAGAAAAAGAAGGAAAACATTGTGCGCGCCTGGTGCAGGTGTTTCAAAACACTGCAAACACGCGAGCGCGTGCGCGTGCACCTCACCTCGGGCAACTAGCTCTAAGACGTGCGCGCGCCTGTCCCCTCCTTCTGATAAATTGAGCCTGTTAATAGGCAGACTATCTCCACATGTTTGGAGCCACAGCTGTTGTTTTCTCGCGAGGCCACAGCTCGGGGGTCACCTGTGAAATGAGGGGCGCTTAAAGGGGCTGGGGTCACAGGGAAGAGGCGCGCACATGTCCCGGCGCCGCATGTGTCACAGGTGCGGGCCGCGCGGCTCGCTCGCCGCGGGACAGAATAACTCCAAATTAAACCGTGACCACCGCGGAATTCAAGCTACGGTTTAATGTTCATGCTTGAGCCAAAAAACAAGTCGGTGTTTTACAGGGGATGGGTGGTCCGCGTGCTTGTCTCTGTCTGGCTTCACTTAAAGTTAAAGAAAAAAAAAGGGAATGAAAATGCAAGGTCGTCCTCAGAGCGCCAAGCTAGAGGAGGCTTTGATTAGAGGGATATGAAACACACTCTCTTAAAGAAAAAAAGAATAAAAAATAAAATAGAGGGATGATCTCTGTCATCTTTTGGCATCTGATGAGGTCGAGGACATGGAGGCCAGGTGGCTGGATGAGCCTGCATCTGCCAAGCATAGCAGCCAGCTGGATCCTCTCTGACTAACGCATCACAACAACCAGTGGCTTTTAATTTTACCACTTGTTTTCCTGCCTTTGAAGTAGACTTCACTCTACCCATCCTCAAGCTTCATTTAAGTGGAAATCCATCAGACTAAAGAAGATCTCATGTCATTACGATGCACCAAAAAGATGCAGTTAAAGGAGAGGTGGTGCAAAGGCATAGAAATCAGTCAGAATGTCCTAAGCTATATAATATGTACAATAATACTGACTTTAAATATGATACAGAACTCTTATTTATTTAATTATTCTGCTTCTGATCTAGCATCATTGAACTTTAAGTCCAGAAACTACTTCTTGCCCCCCTAAGAAATGGCCCCTTATAGTCTCCAAATGTTGAAAAGGAAAGAAAAGAAGCAATTGGTTTGTGATTAAATATTTAAATGTGAAATCTATTCTTATCTTATGTAACTTCCACATCTTAGCTGGTAATGTTCTTTAACAATGTCATCTCTTAGTTTTAAAAAGCAAACTTAATTGACTAGTTTTAGCATTAGTGTAAACCAGCTAAGGCACATTGGTGCCAAAATCGTAACATTTGTCATTTTTGTTTTTTTCCTAAATCTATTCCAACAACTTTGCAGCAACACATGCCCTCTGATAGTCACAGATAAAATGCATCATTCATTGTCAGTGACTGAGTTGGGGTTGAAAACACATCTTGCAAGTTTGGCTTTAAAGATATTGTGGAGAATTTTTAAAAAGACCTGCCCTCTCCACTTAAAACAAAAATGCACGTGCAAGAGCGTGCACAATCCCATTTCCTCTCGTGCATGCCCTGTTTAAAATGTGCTGTTCTCCTAGCTCATACAAGCTTACTTTTTCACGTACAACAGGGATTATATAGTGGACTGACAATTAGGAGGACCAATTATTTAGATGATCCACCCGGAAATAAAACATCGTCCTCTATACCTTTAAGAAATGGCCACTTAGTAAGTCTCCAATGTTAAAAAGGAAAGCAGTTGGTTTGTGATTAAATCATTAAATGTAAAATCTATTCTAATATCTTATATAACTTCCACACCTTAGCTGATAATGTTAATTAATATTGTCATCTCTTTGTTTTAAAAAAGCAATCTTAATAGGCTAGTTTCAGTTTAGAATTTGCACTATTATAAACCAGCTAAGGCACAATGTAACAAAGACAGTAACAATGTCTGTCTTTTTTTATGTATTCCAACAACATAGCAGCAAAACAGACTCTGATAATCACAGATAAAATTCATCATTCATCGTCAGTGACAGACTCAGGGTTGAAAACCCATCTTGCACAATTGACTTAAAGCATCAGCATTGTCGCTAAACCAGCTAATAGGAACACATTTACCCAAATAATGAGAGACTTTTTGGAAATTTTGGCTTATAAACCTTTATTTCTAACAATCAAAGCTAATATTTGTCATTCGCTAGTAACAGCTACGTTAAGATTAAGAGCTAACCTTGCTAGCAACTATGACTTTAGCATTGTCCCTTAACCAGCTAAAACATAAATAACCAACGTTGGGGTCGTGACCTTGATCAACAAGCATGGGGTGTTAAGAATCACCTCAGAAACTGAACTAAATGATTAACATGTAGTTGAAGTGCTAAAAGAACCTACAGCATCACTAAAATTAGACAAAACAACTATTTTGGTTGTTCATGCTGTTTGTAATAATCATTACATCCGTCGCTATTTGATTCTGTAGAAATGTTTGTTTACCAAACCAATGATTGGGATCATACTTTGGCTCTGATACCAATTTGAAGGCCAGAAGCTGAAAGGTTTGGTCATCTCTAAACCGGAGGTCTTCAACAGGGGGTCTGTGACCCCTAGGGAGTTACTGCATGGGGGCTGCGAAAGTTTTGGTTGATTAGACTTTTTTTTAGTATTCCCCCTGCAATTTTTTCCACTAATTGAAATGTCTTTAAATAAACATCAACATGAATTCACCACACTGCAGTAAACAGATTAATGGAGGCAGAAGATGTCTTTCAGTCATCAATGCACACATTCAGCGACACAGGAGCTCTTTTAAGCTGGGCACCGTTTCCTTCACAACACCTGTCCCATCAACCAGGAATCATAATCAGAATTACTTTAATAATCCCAGGGAGAAATTACTTTAATTACATTACTCTATCTGTAATAGAGTGACTATAGGAGCAGTTTGATATATCACAATTTCATACAATATATAATTAGGGGGTCCCCGTTCCATCTCGCCATGAGTTTGGGGTCCTTGGCCTGGAAAACATTGAAGACCCCTGATCTGAACAGAAACATAAAATGTTTCTTAACTTATACTAAGAAGGTTGACATATTAATTTAAAACACACAGTTCAAACATACCAGTAATACGGTTGTGGCGAACTTAACCAACACATTGAGCTGAATTCATACGAAAATGTTGCCATAGGATTAGTTCATATTTACAATAAACTATTAACCAAACTAATGAGCTCAATTAATATTTAAATAATTCCAATCAGACCATCAGCTTAGTGTGCAGAACAGAAACAACTTGTAGAAGTTTGGGCCGCCTCCTGAATTATTACAGTGAGTCTGTGGGCTTCTGTTGATTTATTGGTGTGTGTTTTTGACCGCAGGTATCCTGGAATTCATCAGCCTGGCAGTGGGGCTGGTCAGCATCAGAGGGGTGGATGCTGGACTCTACCTGGGCATGAATGAGAAAGGAGAGCTCTATGGATCGGTGAGTTCCTTTCACTCCTCCACTAACGGATAAAAAACAGGGGCTCAGTTTATACAAACCAAATCGCTGTCTGGTTTCCTCAACCTTTTCTATGTCCGAATTTTGTATTCCCATTTATTGGTATCTTAAGGGCAATTTTAAAGCATAAATACTTGATTTGAATAATATTAATTTGGTTTCTATGATTTTTTTGGTTTTAAATCAGAATCATCAAAAAATAAAAAACATAGTAAACTGGATTATTTAAGCTAGTATATTTTTCCATATTCATTTCGTTTTTCAACCTTATCCATTAGACTTTCAAGGCTGTCTATGAACCGCATGGTTTTATAATACACCATGTTCTTGTCGTTGCTTTAAAGACTAATAGTTTTTTTAATGGAAACATAGCTTTTTTTATTATTTCACTCCCATGCAGCTGATGGTAAAACCACAGCAAGACAAAACAAGCATGTGTTTCTCCTCATGCTTGTTCTTTATCTGCAGGGGTTCAAGGAAGAAACAGCTTTACGATACAGACCCAGTGTCTTCCTTTGGTGTTGTTTTTTTTTTATATGCCAAAGTTTCACATAGAGACAGAAAGGTCTGCACTCAGTCTAATTTTGTCCAAACTTCCACCTCCCTGTTCTGTGCACTTCCTCCTTCATCACACATACCTGTAGACAGAGAGATAGGGAAAGGGAGGAGATAAAAGCAATGGAAGGGGAAGTATGTCAGCGTTATCCTGTATCAGGTGTCCCGGGGCCATACCTGGGGGCCTGCTTTGGGGCTGCCCTGGCTCTCAGCTTTTTAAGAGGCTACTTTTAAGCAGGCCATTATGCTGGAAGTGCAGATATTGTTACTGCAGGTTATTGTAGTCTGGCATCCAGGGAGGTTGGGGAGGTGGGGGTTGACCCTGAGAGTAGTGGGTGGATGATGGTTTGGAGGAGTAATTGCACACCTGACTGAGTCACCTGACTGACAGAAGGGGAGATTTAGACATGTCTGTCTGAAAAACAGAGGCCAGGAAGTGGAGGTGGAATTTTTTTTTCTTTAGAGGGGGGGGTGAACAGGTAGAGGGATGCTTCCGCCCTCACATGCACCAGACCTTGGCGAGCTTTTTGATCCAATGAGATGTTTGTGTGTGTGTGTCAGGCTGGAGCTGGCCCAGTCATGTGCCCTTTAGGCTGTGTTTACAGACAACAGCCTTCCTGCAAAGAGCAGCCAAGCACAGCCTGAGAGCCAATCATCGAGACTGCTTCTAAAGTCCTGTAGAAGTGCGGAGTTGTAAAAAGCAAGAAGGGCAGCATAGAGAAACTGGCTGCCCTGATGTCTGTCATGTTCCTCAGCCTGCTCACCTGCTAAACCTGCAGCCATGCTCTTGTTGCTCTGTCGGTGAACACTAAAACAATCCGGAAAAATGATTCGCCATCCCCAGAGAGAGCTCTGCAGGCCTGAGGAGTGACGAGTAAAGTGAAAAGCTGCATGTAATGACTTCCTCTCTTTAGTCATAACGAGGTCAAACGAATACTTGTTAAAGGCATTACAACCAACTGCATGTAAATGGGATTTTCTGAGTTTCTGCTACAAAGAATGATGCATATTAAAAAGAAAAATCTGTAAAGCGCACCAAATTTTTTTTCTCCAACATTTTTTTTCTGAGCTTTGCTCTTTCCCCAAGTCTGGAAATTAAAGGAAGATGGCTCCACTTCCGATTGTTCCAAAAATAATGCAGATCAAAGAAAAGGCTCAGGGAGACTTTGGAGGAGGTGCACAGATCCACAGCGTTAGTGGGCATATCTGTCAACAGGACGGCGCTTAGCTAACATCTAGCTTTTATAGAAGAAGGAGTTAATTAGATTCAATGTGTGACATTTGGTATTCAGTACCATGGGATCACAATCTTTCTAGTAAAAGATGGTGGTGGCAGCATCATGCTGTGGGAAGGCTTTTTTTCAGCAGAGACAGGGATACTTGGTGAAGCTAATTAAAAGGGAAATGAGACGCAGAGAGGATATTTTGCTTTCCTACAGAACAATGTAACATTCAGGCAGGGCTAATATTTAACTAATTTAATGAAAGCAAATTCATGGTCCAGTTAAAACATAAACGCAATTTAAAAACTTTGGCATAACTTCAAAATTAATGTTCACAGATGTTCTCCTTATAACATTTTTGGAAAATGCCACTAAAAACCATAAATCTGTTTCATTTACTTATCAATTTCATATAAAATCTCAATAAAATACATCAAAGCAGGAAGAAGTAACTATTTTAACTATAGATGGTCATTTTTGTCCGTCCTAATGAGCTAACCTCTTGTTTCGTGTCCTGCAGAGCAAGCTTACAGCAGAATGCGTGTTCAGGGAGCAGTTTGAGGAGAACTGGTACAACACGTATGCTTCCACGCTCTACAAGCACACAGACACGGGACGCTTCTACTATGTGGCGTTAAACAAGGACGGCTCGCCCAGGGAGGGCGGCAGGACTAAGAAACACCAGAAACTCACCCACTTCTTGCCTCGGCCGGTGGAGATCGAGAAGATCCCTCAGGCGTACAGAGACGTGTTCCAGTACAGGTGACCAGCGCTCCCACTGGGAGAACTGGTTACAACTGGAGTCCCAGAGACAAACAAGGACGAAGAGGAGGAAGATTAGAGAAGGGGGGAAGGTGTCGTGGACATTCTGGATGGTGTGCAGAACTGTTTACCCCTGAGCTCACATCGAGGTCATGTGACCAGGACATAAACGATAAACTCGGTCCTGGGTGCCTCTCATCCGCCTCGGCTTTGGACTTCAGCTAAATGCTTCCTCTGTGGAGGACTGAGCAGTTTGGGGTCAACCAGAAAGGTCAAAAAAGATGCAAGGGGTTGATTTTTGTGTAGAGACTTAAATGACATTCTTCAGCACACAGAGAGGGGGGATCCTTGTGTGCATTTTAAAGCACAAACCTGAAAAACTAAACCTGGAGGCTAAGAGACCTCCAGGAAGTTCCATTCAGGAGTGCTGCAGATATTTCTGATATCATACAAGAAGGGTTAGGCTTGCTTAGTTTGGTATATTCAGGTACTTTAAAATCTGTACGCAGATAAAAAACTATTACTAGTCGAATGTCAAAGATGGAAAATGAGGGTAACATCTCTGCCATGACTGTAGGACTGATGAAGCACTTACCTAAACATCCAAAGCCCCAGCTGAGGGTCTGGTCTCAACCTAAACATCTCATTTAAATGAGTAAATTTGGGGCGTAAGCACTTCACCAACTGCGGTTTAAAGGAGCAACAGATACATTTGGTTCAGAGCTGGCGACTTGTAATGTTCAGAGTGCCTTGAACATTATTAAAGAAAAAGAAATGCAAGCATCTGAGGTGTACATATGGGTGTTCCTATTTATGAGAGGTACAATATATTTATTTTCTACATATAAAGTATAAATCTATATATTTATTTATTGCAGAGTTTATTTTGTAATGAACGTGAAGACAAATGGACTGCTACTGAAATGAGGCAAACGGAAACAAAAAGATTGGAGAACTGCAACATGACAATAAAATTGTCCTGCTTTGGAGAACTTATTGTGAGAGGCCGTTCTTGCTTGGATTAAAGTGTGATGTACCAATTAAAACCAGATGTATAATATATGACTTAGTGTTTGTTTCATATTTTCAGACAGTTATCTCAAGGTTCCTATGCATTTTATTTTGGGTCAAGAATATTATTTTAATGCATTAAATCTCATGTAGGCACTAGTTTACACATTTAAAATATGACACTAATTTAGAAACCAAACAAAGAACAATAATATATGCAAAATGCTCTTTTTTTATTAATATAATTTAATTTATTAAAGAGAAAAAAAGTTACCGTCTTCCTTAACCCTTTAAAGCCTGATCCAATAAAAAATAAAAAAAACAGAAAATCCCTTATTTTTGGTTTGAAGTCCTTATTTGGCCTTTTAACAAAATATGTAAAAAGAATATTATTAATTGATATTAATAATTTATTACTATGCGATAAGTCAAGATTATTTTTTGTGTAGTCTTCTACTGGCTGTTATCAGGTATATCTGATTGTGTACAATAGGATTTTGAGCAAAGTTTTTACCATTAAATTATGCAAAGGTGTCAGACGCAAAACATTTCAGAAACTGTATGTATCAAATATGATACATTTGGCATTACAGGGTCAAGAGATTGATGAGAAAACGTCATTGATCTCTCCTAAGGCATACAGGTGACAAAGACATGTGGACATCATCTAAAGAACGGGAGGCTTCTGCCATCTCAGTCAAGGTCAGTTTATTCAATAAAAAAAAAAAAGAGACTGGGCAGATTTATCAGATCTATTGCAGACTTCCATCTCGCCTTTATAAATAAATCAGAATTAGAAAGAAGCATTTTGTGCTTCCTTTAAGTGCCATTTTTTTCAAATGCAGCACGGAAGCGAAAGAAAAGAAATCTGTGAGGGGAAAATTAAATTTAACAAGTAAAAGATGAATGGTTTCCAGGATGGTAAGTCTGTATTTGTTAAAGATTTTCAGTTGGAGCTAAAGAACAGCTGACATTATGGTAGCCATGTCCAAAAGTAGGAGGAAACATCTGGGACAAAAGGTATTTTTGCCCCAAACTCTTTCCAGGACTCATATTTCTACTTGAAGAGAATGCTAAAGATTTTCCCATACTTACCCAGGCAATGGAAATACAGAAATCAAAGTTTGCACCTTTCGGGGGGGGGGGTTCAATACTGTGGTAGAAGCCTTGTTATCTGGTGCTATAAATGGCATCTGGTTGTGATGTTCCTTTGAGCTTTCTCTCACTGCAATGTAACAAGTCATACCAGATTAAAAACATGCCTATTCCTGCTAAAAGACATCAAACTAAATGTCAGTAAAGGAACATGCACTCGATTGTTTCCCAGGGGGGGAAAACTGTTTCAATTTCGTGCTAGTTTGCCCTCATAAACCCCTCAATAGTAAGACTCATATTATGAAGCGATACACACAGGCTTCCTGTCTCCTCAAGCTTTGGCAGAGATACATCCAGCGTACAAAATCAGATTGCAACTGGATCCCAGCTTCTAATTGGCTTTACACATCAGCATGGATTAGCCCCGGTGATTGGCTGTTCACAGCAGGGGCCTCTCAGATGCTGCAGATTTACTTTTTTTTTAAATTCCAAACGGACAGAAGCAGCTGCCCTCTGTGCCGCGGACCTGAGCTGGTGGTGGTGATCTCGGGCCGAGATAGGATGGGATCAACATTTCAACATCTGCAATAGTTGTAATGTTTCCCTTTACTGGCAGATATGAGTACACTGCAAGAGCAAGCTCTCCCAGGGGGGGGAGGGAATGGAAAAGTCAAAGACATTCAGGGGGAAAACCCTGGCAGACCGAGAAATGAAAACAATACCGGGCGAAAGGGAAAAATACATGAAAGATGGACAGGAGGAGAGAGCTGGACACATTAGAGGACAGTGCGTCAGGATGTAGGGCGTGTTTGATGCAAGAGCTTTCAAATTACACTCCTAACATTTATTTCTGCAGAACCATTTGTTTTTAAGCTTACTTTATCTCATTACTACAGGGTTTATACATGAATGAGTAACTCTTATTTAATGCTTTTCAATGCTCTGCAAAATCCTTCGTCATATCTTCACCGTGGACAGGCTGCAGCCATGTCCCGAGTTCTTTTTGCACCACTTTGGTTCAAATTTGCATTTTTCCCCCCATTCTCTAGCCTTTTCTCCACCTCAAGCTTCTGTTCTGAAGCTATTTTAATGCCACAATTATATTTAATGAATTTTAATGCCAATTAAGGCCTTAATTAAAATAATTTAATGACTTAATACAGGGTTTCCGAGGGTCATTAAAAATCATTGTACATTTCAGCTAAAAAGCTTCACAAAGATTCAAGCTTCTAATGCTGAACTAACGCTGGACTAGAGGAAGGAAACTGGCTTTTAAAAATAAATCTGTTATCAGTTTAATGTAAAATATTGTAACTGAAAGACAAAGAATTTAATTAAATATCTGGAGGAATAATTTCACTATTTCATTCACTTTTTATTTTTTACACCATTCCATGTTTATTTTCGATACTTATTTAAACCTGGAAAGTGATATGAGCAAGTTCCGGACTTTAAAAGGTTATGAAGGAAACCTAGAGATACAAGAATCAGTAATTAGTCAAAAACAGTTATCTGATAAATTTTCTCACTTTTCTTTTTTTAATTGTAAAGAAATGAAACACAGGAAGAACAGAAATGATGATGGAGGAACTGAAACTGCAACCCAGACAGTCCTCCAGGAGATATGCAGACAGCTGCCCCTGTATATAAGCAAGACTCCCACACATTTCTCCTTGTTTTGGTCACTTTATTAAATGTTATATTAAATACTTATGAAGATTATAGCAGTCAATGAATGGCAAATTATATTTGTATCTGCTAAAGTGAGAACATTCTTCAATAAGGGGCAAAGCAACTTCATTTATAAAAACGCAGCTTGTGCAAACATAGAAATCAACAGGGTTGGTGACAAAAGTCCACCATCAACTTTGCTGAACGGCGACACCGATTTGAGCTCATAGAAGAAAGAACGTGTCAAAGCAGAATACAAGTCGTCTTGGAACAGGGGCAGACTCACAAAGCACTGGACCAAAACCAGAAGAACTCCAGTCGATCGCTCCTCCTCCGTCTATACAGACATTGATATTTAAAAACGTCAAACACGGGTTTGGAGCGATGGACCGAGCTGGAAAGGTTGTGCTTCGTGAGACGCCGGGGGAAATCAACGCAGGTGAAAACAGGAAAAAAAAAACGACCCCCAACAATGAATGAGCAGGAACACGCAGTGCTATGCTAGGCAACACGTAACAATAAGAATGATGTTACAAAAAAAGTCATCGGAGCCGGCAGGCAGTTCTGGATGACAAGCTTTTCTTTTTTTCCTATTTTTATTTTTTTTTTCCAGCAACGACTAATGTAAACACATAAAAGCGGAATAGAAAATATTCACAACAAAATGTCAAATTTTTACAGAGATTCTTTTAGGAAACCATATAAGGCCATATTCTTCCTATTTTGTTGCCTTTTTAAGCATCTTCTACCTCCTGAAATAAGCAGGACTTTGCAGCTGTTCTAGTTTGTTAGGTAATTGGTGAGGAACAATTAACAATATCAGAGCTCGTTTTGTTTTGTAGTTCTGCAATCAATGGTTCTGGTCCCACTTGGATGTTGGTAGGCATTCAAAACTGTATAAAAACTGAGTTTAAATAACACGGAAACCCTTTTTGAAGGGGAAAACAATACAATGCTGAACAGCATTGAGGGGGTAAAACAGGTTTGTTAAATACATAAAAAAGTGATTCTACCGAACTTGAATAACATAAATGCGGTATTTACATCTCTCTTCCCCCCGCTCAAACTTTTAAACAAACCTTAAACACAGTCATGTATACATTATATTTACTGTCTCTCAGTGAATCACAACACTATTCGATCCGAGGCCCCCGGCAGACAGCTTTCAGTGGTCTCACAGTAAGTTTGTCACAGACAGTGGGGGTGGGCGGGGCCAGATAGCCGACTCGTGGGATCAGGGAGGGCCCTGATCTGACCTACATGCCCTGTGAGGGGCCCGGGTTCTTGCCGTCGCTCTGATTGCCGCCCATGCCGTGGAGGCGCTGGTAAAGCCCCAGCAGGTTCATCTGGTTCATCCCGCCTGCCATCATGCCGTTCTGCAGGGCCAGCTGGTTCAGGTAGGTGGCCTGGTTGGCCATGGCCAGTTGTTGCTCCTGCACCTTTCTGTTGGTGATCAGCTTCTGTACGTACATCATCAGCTGGGGAAACAGACAGAACACCCAGTTTCAATTTACAGATATAAGAAGATGAGAGAAGCCCAAATGCGGTTCATAGTATTCTGGTTGCAACATGCGACGAGTCACGGACTTTTAACTCTTGAGTCATATTTTTTTTTTTATGTTGGATTTTGTGTAGCATGTCTATACAAAATTTTTCATAATATAAATGTGAGAAGTTCAGCATACATTTCTATTCAGAATCAATTTGCTTAGTTAAGGACTCATTATGCTTGATGAATGTACAATCCACGTGGAAAATGAGCCGTTAACCACAATTACCCCATTTCCACTACCCTTGAAAAACCGGTCCAAGCTCAGTAACTGAGATAACTTATCGTGTTTAAATTTAAAGCAAACAGAACTGAACCGAGCTAGACACAACCGGACCGCACTAACTGCAGACCAGTTCCAGGGGTGGGCTCGGCTCGGTTCTCTGATAACAAGAGCACATGAGCAGAACGCGTCATCTCCGTCTGGCTGCACATCCTGATTCACACTCCATTCCAGTAGTTGGCGGTAATACCCCTCCAGAAACAGAAGAAGAAGAACGACTTCTTCTTCAACTATAAACAACAATCAAAATCTTCTCCACGCAACATTTTAAATAATGTCATTTAAACAATTACACCGAAGTACAGCAATAATAATCAAGCATAACTTTCTGAATGTGACGCGCGCCGCCATTTTGATTTGCTTGATTCCCTCCTTCTTGTGCTTTATTTCCTCCTTTAATACTGACAGTAATACCGCAGATCGTCACTAGGAGGCGAGGAGTCGAGGAACCGAGATAGCGTGATGTGTAAACGGTCATCAGAACCGAGCTCGGCCTGGTTAACTGATCAGAGCTCGGACCGGTCTCGGCATGGATCGGTTTTTCAAGGGTAGTGTAAATGGGGTAAATGTCTGCAGCATTTATGCTTTGTGCTCTTTGTGGAAAACTCCTGGAAACAAATGACTGTTACTGGACGACATAATTTGGTTGGTGATATTTATGAGCTAAATCACAGTATCTCTAGATGTTTACTTGTGCAAACCTCTCGCCAGCAGGTGCTGCTGCTCGCTTGCCAGGTTTTACGCAGATCTGTTGGCGTAGATACATTTTCCTAGGTGCGTAAATTCTGTCCATGTGGAGGAGCTTGGAAGCTCAAAATTATGCAACTTCATGACGCAGACCTCGCAGATGCGTCAAGCATAAATCAAGCCTCACTGCAAGTCTTCATCAGCTTGAGACCCCCAGAGAAAGATTCAGGATTCTGTCTTGCAGCAAGCTGAACCGCTTTTACACCTTTATTTTCTTATTCTTTGTTCAGATCAACTCACCAGCTTCCCAATGCCGATTCCCTATATCAAAGGATAATACTGCCACTACCATGTCTCATAGTAAAGATGGTGTTCAGAGTGATGTGCTGTTAGTTTTGCACCACAAAGACCAAAATGTTCAGCTTTTAGTGTCATCTGATTGAAGCCCCTTCTTACACCTGTCTGCTTTGAGCTGTCCAAGCCGTAAACTTGACATCTTGTGGCTTTTTTCTTGCCATTCTTAACTACAACTCTTGTTTTTGTTAAGCCAGCCAATAAGATTTGCCCTGCTGGACATTTTCTTCCACGTCATTGTTTAATGAATTTAAGTGTCCTTCAAACTCTTAACAACTCAGGGTGAAGACCAGGAAACAAAGTCTGACTAAAGAACGCTTACCCTTATTGAGATACGGTATTTGCATAAAGCCAAAATCAAAAATATCAGAAAATCTAGAGGATGAAAATCATCTCATAAAATGAACATGACTCCAGCAAACCACATTTGTTTACATTTTTTGCTTCATTTAACACAACAGCTTTCTCATCAAAGACTTTGTTTGTTAATAATTGATCTAATTTAAACAGCTTTACAGAAACCTGGCTGCAGCAAGAGGTCTATTAGCATAAATGAGTCAAATCCTTTTAGCGATTTCAATTTTCACATTGCCCAACATTCTGTAGCAGGAGTAGCTACAAACTTTCAGTCCAATTTGTCTATTCTTCTAAAGCCAATTAATAATTAAAATTCTTTGAAACATTTAACTCTTGTGCAAATTATTTTTTTAGATGAAGTCCCAACAAAATGATCTAAGGAAGTATTCCCTCTGATATCCAACCCAACTTTAGATAACATTAACATACCACTAGTACAGGGACATGAGTGGCATAATTTTAGGGTGTTATTAAACTTTTGCTTGACAAAACCTTCAAATTAACTAAAATTCTTTGGAAAAGAAGCTTAAGTGTTACCTGTGGAGGACCATAAGCATCAGTGCTTAGGCCGATTCTCTTCACTATATATATTCTATATATATATATTCTTTCAATTAGTAAACTTATCAGACAGCATGGGTTTCATTAACGCAATTTTGCTGATAAACATAACCCATTACATAGATTACAGACTTACCTGAAGGACAAAACCAAATTTGCTGTTCTTAAACTTCATCTAGATGCCTTTTGGTTAGCCTCCGTTAATAATGTAAAATATGTTTTATTTTTTAGCATGACCGGTCAGTTAAATTTCATGTTAAACAGTTTTCTAAAATGTGAAGTTACATTATAAAACTCATCCATAAATCGGATAGTTCAAGGCAGGATTTTTGTAATTCTTTACTATTAGGAAGTCCACAAACTACACGAAAAGCCTTCAGTTGCAGGTTAAATAAAAGTAAAAGATCATATTTCCCCCTTTTTTTTTAGCTTCTCTTCATTGGCTTCCGTTCAAATCTAGAATACAATTTAAAATTCTACCTCTCAAGTATATAGCTCTAAACTAGGATGCATCTTAAATAAGATACCTGCTTGTTTCTTATGTTCCCAACAAATCACTTCACTCTCAATCTGCAGGTTACTAGTGGTTCCAAGAATTTCTAAAAGTCCAATATGAGGCAGATCTTTTGGTTATCAGGCTCACCAGTTTTAATTGGTCTACTTTAAGGACCAGGTATTAAAACTATTTTTTTAATTAATTAATTTTTTAATAAAGCTTATCGTTAAGAGTGCCTCAGGGTACTCAGTTATTTCTACTTTATAATTATGCTACTATAGGCTTAGGCTGCTGGATGAAATAGGGAACACTTTTCCTCACTGTGCGTAATTCCACTTCTATTCACCAATTCTGAATTATTAGTTTGACTTATAACTTTGTTCTGTTTTTTCTCGTCATATATTAATTTAGCCTTGCGCTTGCTTTAGCTGTAACACCGTCTTCGAGGGAAGAATCAGCTGGGCCTCTGTTGTCAACAACTCCATTCACAGTAAATAGAGCTGGGCCTGTTTTTCAGTGTTACGTCCTGTGTCTCTCCTAAAGACGGCAAATTTGGTGAGCTTTGTGACTTACAGAATGTGCTCTCTTTCATTCCTATGACTTAAAACAGGGTCAGAGGTAATCTGTTTAACTGTTTCTAGACAGAGCAGTGCCTGAAATTCACTTGCAATTTGGGGGAAATACCCCTTCATATGCTTGAGTCAGAGGATTTATTAATTTTGGGGGGATTATTAGTTATTGACTACAGGCCTTTTTTGTGCTAATCTTACCTCAGATTAATATGCTGCTTTCATTTCCATCTTTTGTCTTTCTAGCTGTTGCATCAGCTGCTTTCTCTTGCCCTTTCCAATGTTTGATTGCTTTTTCTTATTTAACTGTTGGGGTAAAGAAAGAAAATATTTTTTAGGATGGAAAATGTTCCAAGGAAGAATCTTCTAAGGTTACCTACGCAGCTTAATATATTACCATAGATCAATGCATACATATGCATTTCGTTTTCTGCTACAAGGCAGAATTTCATGTTTATGCTGCACTTGCGCATCTTGGATAGCGATCCCTATTTGGAATATTTTAAGGTTAAAGACATTAAATATGATAACCACTGGTTTGCTAGCCCAAAATTAAAACGTATTAAATTAAAATGTATTGCGTTAGGGACGTAAAAAGCATCTGGTTTACATGCAAAGTCAGCAACTGATTGTTATTGATTCACTAAAACTTTTTTTGCGAACTATGGAAAAAAAAAGTTTATAAATACCTAGGGCTGGGCGATAAGTCAATAACGATATACACTATATTGCCAAAAGTATTTGCTCACCTGCCTTGACTCACATATGAGCTTAAGTGACATCCCGTTCCTAATCCATAGGGTTCAATATGACGTCGGTCCACCCTTTGCAGCTAGAACAGCTTCAACTCTTCTGGGAAGGCTGTCCACAAGGTTTAGGAGTGTGTTTATGGGAATTTTTGACCATTCTTCCAGAAGCGCATTTGTGAGGTTGCACACTGATGTTGGACGAGAAGGCCTGGCTCTCAGTCTCCGCTCTAATTCATCCCAAAGGTGTTCTATCGGGTTGAGGTCAGGACTCTGTGCAGGCCAGTCAAGTTCATCCACACCAGACTCTGTCATCCATGTCTTTATGGACCTTGCTTTGTGCACTGGTGCACAGTCATGTTGGAAGAGGAAGGGGCCAGCTCCAAACTGTTCCCACAAAGTTGGGAGCATGGAATTGTCCAAAATGTCTTGGGATGCTGAAGCATTCAGAGTTCCTTTCACTGGAACTAAGGGGCCAAGCCCAGCTCCTGAAAAACAACCCCACACCATAATCCCCCCTCCAACAAACTTTACACTTGGCACAATGCAGTCAGACAAGTACCGTTCTCCTGGCAACCGCCAAACCCAGACCCGTCCATCAGATTGCCAGATGGAGAAGCGCGATTCGTCACTCCAGAGAACGCGTCTCCACTGCTCTAGAGTCCAGTGGCGGCGTGCTTTACACCACCGCATCCGACGCTTTGCATTGCACTTGGTGATGTATGGCTTGGATGCAGCTGCTCGACCATGGAAACCCATTCCATGAAGCTCTCTGCGCACTGTTCTTGAGCTAATCTGAAGGCCACATGAAGTTTGGAGGTCTGTAGTGATTGACTCTGCAGAAAGTTGGCGACCTCTTCGCACTATGCGCGTCAGCATCCGCTGACCCCGCTCCGTCAGTTTACGTGGCCTACCACTTCGTGGCTGAGTTGCTGTCGTTCCCAAACACTTCCATTTTCTTATAATACAGCTGACAGTTGACTGTGGAATATTTAGGAGCGAGGAAATTTCACGACTGGATTTGTTGCACAGGTGGCATCCTATCACAGTTCCACGCTGGAATTCACTGAGCTCCTGAGAGCGACCCATTCTTTCACAAATGTTTGTAAAAACAGTCTGCATGCCTAGGTGCTTGAATTTATACACCTGTGGCCATGGAAGTGATTGGAACACCTGATTCCAATAATTTGGATGGGTGAGCAAATACTTTTGGCAATATAGTGTATATCGATCGATAGACGTGTGGCGCAATAGAAAAAAAGAGGGTCGATAAAAGTTCGATAAAAAAGAAACGCTGTTTTCCTTCCTTCTCATTGTAGCCTAGCATGTAGGTTTATGCTAGTCACTGCTTCCTCCCAACCAATCACAAGCGCGGACCCAGGCATGCCGTCACCAAGCACCGCCCTCTCAAACCACAACACAGAGCACATGAAGATGTCGCAGCAAGGAGAGTCGGAGGAAATTGTTTCAAAGAAGGGTTTTTGTAGTTCGGCAGTCTGGCAGTATTTCGGTCATGGCAAGTCGGATAAAAAACAAACCACAGTCATCTGTAAAATGTGTAGAGAACCAGTGAAAACGAAGTCTGATAACACAACCAACTTTTTTTTTTTTTTTTATCATGTCAGCCGCTCACACCCACAGAATTATGAGCTGTGCAGGCCCCGGCGCGGCTCTCCTCCGAGGAATCTTCGGGAATTTCGGGAAAATATATATATATTTTCAGTTCTGGGCAGTTTCCCACGTAGTTCTAACAATTGAGATAAAAATGCTGAGGGACCAGAAACTTCAAAGTAATAACTCAGGTTAAAGCAGGAAACGGGGGGAGGCGGCGGCGGTGGGGGGGCATTTATTTATTTGTTATATTTATTTTGGTCACTTTTCTGGTCACTTTAGTTTATGCTTTGTCAGTATTTAATAACATAACTCAGGTCTCTTAAGTTATTTTTCTTTAAAACAATTCTGTTATGGTTAAAAAAGTTGGTTAAATAAAGATTTAATTTGAAGTCTGTGTTTGTGTTTTTTTATTAAAATTAAATCTTTTAGCAATATTGTAAAAAGTCCAGGCAGAGCTGCACATAAAATATGGTTTCAAATCTTTTCAATAATTATCGATATCGATCAATATGCATTTTTTTTTTATCGATAAGCTTTTTTTCTATATCGCCCAGCCCTATAAATACCCAAATTAACTAGAAATGTTAAAACCTGCCGATGAAAAATATTCAATTGTATATTCTGGTACTTGCAGTTTTTACCACAAACCTTAAAAACTCTTAATATCACTTCCAGCTGCTATCAATGGCAGTGGGAAATCCCCCACAGGCTGGCTGCAGCAGGGAGCTTCCAGCGCTGCCTCCTGGAGGTATGATGGAGGTCTGGTGCATTGAACAAGAACTGCATATTTTAGTAGGATCATAATCCTGATAAACTGACTTCACAGAAGATGTTTAGAGGGGGACTTTCTCGCTTGATAATGTGTTAAAACAATTTTTCCTGCTCGTCAAGTAAATAAAGCCAAGCTGCTCTCTAGCTTGAAGCTACAGAACAGAGCGGATAAACAACCAGAGCGCCGGCCATACAGCGTATGCGCGTTTTTGATGCCCACAATGCCTTTGGTGTAAACGTAGCATAAGAGAAGAAGAAAAAAAAAGAAAAAAAGAGAAGAGCGTGCCCAAGTGAGTAGTGGAGATGTTCTTTGTTCAAATCTGAAAACGTCCATATTAGTAGCTGCACATCGCCATGATTTATTTTTAAAGAGGGAATTTACCACATTATAAAAACGGGGATGGATCAGATAATACGCTATTCCCGCTATCCTGCAGTGAATCTCAGGTCCTACAGATCCAACTATGGAGCTAGGCTTCCATGACCTTCTCTGACAAAGTATTTATGGCGTACTGCCTCTGTGTTCCATCTGTGTGTTTGATTCAGTTTTCTCTGACCCCCAAGTCTGTCATCAAAGATGGCCGCTTACACTGAGCCTGGTTATGCAGGAGTTTTACTCTCCACTGTGGCAGCCTGCTTTTTGAGAGAAACTGCTGATAAATTCAATGACATATTGCAAGCAAATGTCTGCTGGTGCTACGTGCTCATCTAGGAGGATCAAATTCTACAAAGTTAATAACTCAATGCAATCAGCATAGTTTCTTTAGATAGAAAACCTTTATTCACTCTGTGTGATATGGTCTAATTGTTTCTCTAAAGTGCGTTGAAATGATGGGTTATGAATTGCCGATAAATTAATAAACCGAACTGGATCTCCTCCAGTTACCATGAGCCTTTTGGCTGCTCAGTTTAAGAGCTCGGCCGGAATGGTTGGTTTTCCATCGAAAAAAAACGTTTCCGTTTTCAGATAACAGGTTTAACTGCACGCCCTAAGAGGTTAAAACTTACTTTACAACCCAACTCTGTTTTAAACATTTTCAAAGCTTTCTTCCCAATTTCCCTCCTGCGTTCCTTGGTCTTTACGATGCCATTTGTTCTCTAATGTTCTCTTAAACCAGCAGATGGATTTGTTCAAAGATTAAATCACAAAACCAAATAAAATACTCTAAAGTTTGTGCTTGTAACCTGACAAATGTGGATGTGTTCTTAGGATGTGAATCCTGGGCTACCCAATAATTATCAAACTTGACCTTAAAGACATGCATCTCCAACGTTCCTTTTTGCTTAAAAATCTACTTTTGACAGAACTTTGTTTTATGAACACTATAACCAGTGTTGCTATTCTAAAGCTCTCTCAACTGTGGGCCTTAGCTCCACCTGCTACAAAACAGTATCTATATCAGTGTTTCTTACCGTTTGCTGCCTGGTGAGGACGTCTCTATAAATGGCTTCCCTGCGCTTCAGCTCAATCTCCACATTAGCTTGGTGTCTCAGAGTTAAAGCCTGGACCTCGTTCTCTGTGAGAGTTGGATTTTCCTTCCACTGCAGAGAGAATGTTTACCCACAATGAGAAACTGTTTCTTTTAATTAATAATCATGTAATTCTTTGAGTAAAAGTTCAAAAAATATCCACTGGACTTGGTTTCCAAGATTTGAAGACGTTTCGCTTCCCCTCCAGGAAGCTTTCTCAATTCAAATGTCTGGATCCGCAGTGAGTTTGAGTCTTATACAGACAAAGCCTTGTATCGCTTGGAAACATGCAAATGCTAACCGATGAAGGGGTCGTTTGGTTCCATTGTTAGCCTGTAATTAAAGGGGGGGGATTGACAAAGCTTCCTGGAGAGGTGGCGAAACGTCTTCAAATCTTGGAAACCAAGTCCAGTTGATATTTTTTGAACTTTTACGGAATGACTATGACCTGGATGACTGAGAATCTTCATCAGCATTCCTGTAATTCGAGAATAAGCCTGACGGGGCGGTGACTGATTACTAAACTAGAACTGAGCAGCTTCTCAAACTTACTATTCTGGCAATGATGTCTTCCATTGTCTCACGAGCTAGGGCTTTTAAAGCATTTGTTGCTTCAATGACCTTCTGGCGCCCCTGGCTTATGAGATCCTGAACAAAACAAAGAAGAGAAATTAAACATTCAATTAGCAACAGGCAAGTTTATGCACATTTTCAGAATCAAAAATTGTACGCAGGTTTCATGCAGTGACAAATTAACAATAAATGTTCCCCACCAGTAGGAATCATTATTCACCACCTACAAACTTGTATTGGTTTTGTGGAAACCTTTCAAACAGCTTTAACCAAAAGAGCTTAGCATTATACTAATCAACTGGGAATAAACCCACCAAGCTGCCTCTTGCAGTGAGTATCCACCCACTCTCAGTGGATGTATATTAATAGCTGCCATCCCAGACGAGCATCGTTATGAACTGGTCGGCTGCTGCTAGACTGGTGTCACAATTAGGAGCGGGGAGGATGAGGAATGTGGGACGCCGTGTCGTTGGGGTGGGGGGTAGAGGGAGGCATATGGGCCTCATTACTTACCTCCAGCTGCTGGTTGGACATTGTGGCCAAAGCTGCCATATTGAAGGAGAAGTAGTTGGAGGTGCCCATATCTGGCTGAGCATAGGACATGGGGTAGTTGGTCCTGGTAGACAGACCCTGGGAGAAACGGAGAGAGGAGAAAAACAGACGGGGGGATGAATGAGGGAGGCAGGTGTTATAAATAATAGATCTGTAACAAGTATGGTGGTTCCTGTGGTTCTGACATTTTCATCTGTGCTGAATAAAGTTTTCTGATTTGCTAAGTTGATGTATTTACAAGTATTAATTTGTAGGCCAGACAAATATTACAAAGATCTGAAAACAAACCTGAGTGGACTAACAAAGGTATTTATTTTAGAAAAGAGAACATTTTACACTTCTTTCCCTCCCTGACAATAGTATCAGCCAGCTTTATACTGTATTAAGCCGGGGATACACTGTACGATTTTTTCGATCGTTGCACGTAGCTACAGTTCACACTGCGCAATGAAACTGCAGGGTTTTGATGGGTTGATGATGGGTTTTCTGTAACAATCCAGGAGATTTTTCATTTTTTACAAAGAGACTGTAATGGCTGCAGCAGCTTTGGTCTGTACGCGTCATGCCACCTGCCTGTGGTCATATATTTGCAGGGAGCTGCAGAGAGAGCAGCTGACATACAAGCAAATGTAGAACATTTGGGCAGAGTGCTTATCTGCACATGATAAAGTGGGACTAGAGAAATATATTACCCAAGCCCCCAAAACTACTTGTTGAAGACTTTAGCTGTATGCATAGAGTCTGATCAGGGTTTTAATAAAAGCAAGCTACGCATAGCAGCTTTTTTTTTTTTTTTAACAAAGCTAAATTGAGTTAGAGCAGCTTTTAATTAGCTGCAAACAAGAAAAACCCTCTGGTCAGTTCTTTTTATCCTAAATAGGACTTGTCACACACTGGCTTCAAAAGTATATACTGGCTAATAGCTTCTTCTGCTTTCCGCTGGGTTATTATACGTATGTTTTGCTTTTGCATAATTTGGTAATCAACTTAAGCATTTTGTGTTTTTACCATAAGGAGACCACATGACTGCAGGTACGATATGGAACTAATGAAGCTAAGCAGGTCAGCATTTTCCCCAGCAGAAGTTAAAGATCGATATGAAAAAGAGCAGAGAAATATCTGACGCAAAGCTTCATAAGACATGAGTACTTAACGTTGAGGCTTACTGAGGCAGGAGCTAAAGCTGCAAAGACAGTTGGGGTGTGATTAGGTACTTCCAGCAGATGGTGACGGCATATAACATATCTGCTGATCGCACTCTGTGCAAAAAAATCCTTCAGGCTGAAAAAGGACTAAGTAAACACCATGAGGATGTACGCATGGCTTGTATTGTTTTATTTAAACATTAATATATGTTTTTTGTGCTTATCGTCAATGACGAGACCAATTTAAAGATGACATATAATAATCCAAATGTGTCATTGATAAAATCCGATTTTGTGCTTTTCTTTTAAAACTTCTCTAAATTCCATCAGAAAAGAAACAAAGGTTATAGCGGAGAATTTTGAACACTCATTTTGTGAGAGGAACAACTTTCCCAGTATCAGTTGGCTTCTGCTGTATTAAATGTGTGTGTGCGGGTGTGTGTGTAATGACCTGAAGTAAACAGTCTTGTCTCAGTAAAGGCCAGCAGAATGCCGATGTTTGTATGTAATTGAGTCTCAGCTGCAGATGGTTTTCCCTTGCCCTGTAATCTGGCCATCCGGTATGTTGTAGGGTGCATGTGTGTGTTTGAGTGTCTCTGTGTGTGAGAGTGGGGCCAACAGGGGCCTCTGGACCTGGTCAAAGACAGGTGTGCAAATCTAAACAGTACAAACCCTCCAAACAACCACAATCTGCACATACGCATTCTTCACTTTTAGCAAAGAAGCCATTCTGGAGATTGGGCTGAATCCTCAGATATGCATCAACTTTCACTTTTATTCATTAAAGAATTTATCTGGATTAGACTTTGAAATTTAAGTTTAAATCATATTTGACCTAAACCATCCTAAATGTTGGATTTCTTGCAGGAACAAAGGGTTTGCAGCTTTAATTTCTATTTCAATGCAAGATCACATTTTTGGGTTTCCCCTCTTGTTCAGACTGTAAATCTGATATTATGCATGTGGCTTTTCCTCTACAGCACCAGCTGAACGCTACACTAAGACATTAACAGAGGTTGGGTTTCTTTACAGTTGTTGCTCTTCTAAAATGAAAACCATTAAAGAAACGGTCCTGTGGTGAACAGCCTGTTGTGGATCTATAGCGACAATTTCTCAATCCCTCCAACACATTTTTTTCATGATAGACATTTAATATAATTAACACCTGGCATAGTTTTATAATCTGTATACTTTACAGATTACTCTTTCAAGAGCTATTGTTCTTTTTTCCTTTTATGGCATCTGGATTAGCCCAGGTTGACTTCATTTTGAGAATTTTAGCCTAAATAGACGACAAATCTGGACTGAATAACCCTACACTAAAAGATTTGTTAAGTATTGATTGGGAGCATGCAGGTTTCTTTAAATTTCAGTAAGTAAAACTAAAAACATAAACTAAAACTTAAAAGCTGCAAATTAAATAGAACAAATATCTGAAATGTAACTTATAAATTAAATCTAGCAACAATCAATAACCTACACAAGGTAGAATACATTTATAAAAATACCCCAGAATGCTAGTCCAAGGGTTTTACTCCATTGTCACCCAAATTTATTAAATTAATTTTGGAAACGTTCTGATTTTATCTACCTAAAGAGGCATTCACAAAGTTTCTACAAAAAAAAGATAAGTTAAGAAAATTCTTAAGAGGCATAACTGAACAAACCAAGTATGAATAATATCAATACATACATTTCAGATTATTAAATATAATTGAAACCTGATGTGTGAAAACTAGATCTGTGATTTAATGAAATCCCAGGTAAGAGGTAATTCAAATAAAATGTATTTGTAACATACCGTAATTTTCGGACTATAAGCCGCGACTTTCCCCCCCATTTTTCGACCTTGCGGCTTATATAACAATGCGGCTTATCTATGGACTTTTACAGCTAACGGCCATAACTAAATCTATGGATTTTACCATCCACCATGTTGACTTCACATTTGCTTCAACACACAGTACGGTAGCCGCGCGAGCAGGAATGCGAAGGTCCTCCGGAAGCAGACTTCTACCACGAGCGGTACGAGACAGAACGACAGCGAGAAAGACTGACATTGCAAGCGCAAGACAGTTTGTGTTAAACATAAAAAACCTGCTGCTTATAGTCCGGTGCGGCTTGTATATGTACAAATCATGCAATTTGGCTTCTGCGACATATATTGAGGTGCGGCTAATAGTCCGAAAATTACAGTATTTTAAAAAGAAGAAATAGCTTAATATCTTAACCTTTTCCTCATGTAGTATTTTCTTATTTCCAGATTTTCCCAGAAAAGGAAAATAATTAAAGCAAAAGTCATATTTTTCCAGGTTCTGTAGGAACTCTGTGTTGATCTTCATATAAATTGTTGGTGTTTAATGAACTGAGTTTAACATTAGTATTTTTCCGACAGTCGACTAAAAAACAGAACTGTGGAGGGAAAAGACACTTAAAGGAATAGTACACCCAAAACATGATTAGCCTTCATTTTCTACTCACCTCCATGCTGAACAACACTCTGGAGTACTTTTTTGATATCTCAAATGCATCTGGAGATCTGGGAAGCTTCTTGCTATCTGCTGACATTCAAATAATGGAGGTCTATGGTGCCCGAGGCAGAAAGGTCCATAAAAGTCCACAAAAAACGTGTCAATATTCCTCCATACTGCTCGTCCAATGTATTCCAAGTGTCCTGAGTGGGTAGCATCCAGAATTTACTCGAAACGAAGTCATTTAGAATGTTTTTAGAGCATAAACAGTAGTGTATAGGATTTCCTGAAAGAGCGCGCCTGCGAGTTCACGACGCTACGGAAACCGCGGCAGACCAAACCAGCGCATTCAGCTTGGCAAAGAACTCATGCTCTCCCTCAACACTGAAGTCCTCAGACATTTTTCTTTAGTTTTTTTCTTTCTTTGCACAGGTAAACAGCACATTTCTTCTTCTACGCTTGCATTATCGGCAGAGCAGACGCTGAATGCGCACTTTCATCTGGTTTGGTCTGCCGGCTTCCGTAGCGTCGTGAACGCGCTGGCGCGCTCTTTCAGGAAATCCTATACACTACTGTTTATGCTCTAAAAACATTCTAAATGACTTCGTTTCGAGTAAATTCTGGATGCTACCCACTCAGGACACTTGGAATACATTGGACGAGCAGTATGGAGAAATATTGACACGTTTTTTGTGGACTTTTATGGACCTTTCTGTCTCGGGCACCATAGACCTCCATTATTTGAATGTCAGCAGACAGCAAGAAGCCTCCCAGATCTCCAGATGCATTTGAGATATCAAAAAAGTACTCCAGAGTGTTGTTCAGCATGGGGGTGAGTAGAAAATGAAGGCTAATCATGTTTTGGGTGTAGTATTCCTTTAAAGACATAAAGGAGAGAAGAGTGTTGGAAAAACGATCATTAGGGTAAATTAGATTCTAGGATTACAACAAGGAGAGGGAAGACACTTCCATATAAATGATATTAAATGCCCCACAAGAAACAGGAGGAGTAATGTGACAGGAGTATGTGAGAGAGAAGGCTCCAACTTTTTAAACCTTCATCCTAACTTTGACTAGAAATAAGGCTGCTGAGCTGAACTACTTACTGTAGGTGATGATGGGTCAAAGGTCCAACGTTCGCTAAAGAAAAGCCCGTAATCTGCTGTTTTTTTTACTTTAAAGTCATTTTTTTAAAAGTTAAGATGGGTCTAAGGTATGTGTGCTGCTTCAAAATGACAGCTTTATTTCCAGAATTCTGAATGTTTAAAATAAAATTATAAAGGTAAAATTGAAAAAGTCTCTTCTGAGGAAAGAGGGAGTAAAAGGTTGACTGATGAAAAGGAAAAAGGAAGATGGATAGATGGATGGAAGACGGGTAGATGGGTGAACACAGCAATGAAAAGGAAGAGCAGAATGAAGACAAACTGGATGGATCGATGGGACTAAAAAAAGTTTTTTTCCTCTGACAAAAGCAAAAAAAAAGACAAAAACATAATTCTACATATAATTTTCCTGTACTTATCTAGACCAGGAAACCATCTACACCAAATCTCATTCCCGACCGTCCCACTCAGAACCCAATAAATACATGTGCAGATGTTTCGGTAATCAATTCCTCCTTTCTCACCTTCTTCTCTGCTTCATACTCGGCCCACGCCGCCTTGCGATCCTCCTCACTCAGGGCTTCCTCCTCCTTGTGGTCCAGCAGAGAGTCATGCTCATGATAGCACACTATCTGATCCTTGTTGTTCTGTAGCATCTCGGCCAGGATGGGATCCTAGATAGGAAGACGAAGCAGGATGAGATACAGTCATGTCTGATGTGGGACAATCCATATGAGTTCAACATAAGGAAAACTGTTCAGTCTATTCCAGGCATAAATGAAGCTAAAGTATTCTGAAACTCTGGTTTCCATGCCTGCATTGTTTTTGAAAACAATAGCAGAGGGAAATTAAGTCAACATGGTTTTAATTAAGCTCTCTGCAGCAATTTCACTTTTCCTTCTCTCAACCGAGCTTCACTTTGAACTGGAACTTTTTGTCAATGTCAGGTTGGCCCATTCACCTCCTCACGGACCATTCAGAGGGCTTCAGCGCCCTGTCACAGCCCTCCTTTGTCTTACTTTAAACAGTGCGTGTGGGAATTTGGTATAAAGAAAAAAAAAAAGAAAACAGAATAACATGAATGCTATTGGCATCAAGTAAAACTAAAACATCAACCCATGAAATTAAGCAGTGATTGCAAACCTGTGGTGAATAAATTTAAAATAAACATCAGGCTAGACGCAGTGAAATCGGACCCACAAATGAGGAGGTGGGTGTGGGGGGTCGGCATGAAAACTTCACAAGAGCCATCTTTTAGGGGGTTCGTGCAGAGCTTCTCACCCACACACGCTGTAACTCCTCCTAGACTTAGATCTTGTACCCACTGGTGCTCCTCAGCGACATGTGTTTAGGTTTCTTGGCCATCACTCTCAATCAGGACAAAACCGGGCCACCCTTAAACAACCAAACATTTGGGAACAGCACACAGCGAGCTATTCCACTGCAGCTTTACCTTCTAATTAGGAGATAAAAGCACAGAGGGGTCTGATGGCCCGATTAGGATGAAAAGGCACCATTTGTTTTTAACCAAAGAAAGGGGAGCAAAAGGTCAAATTAAATGCAAAGTCAATGCCACCAGCAGTTCTAAAGTTGGAACATGGACAGATTCCTGAAAGGGCCTGAAAAGCCCTCTGGACCCCATTATACTCCAACCTACAACATGCAGCACAAAAGTATTCAAACCCCCTGAGCTGGTCCAAACTCTACCTTACTAAAACCAATTATTCTAATGCTTTTTATAGGGAATTTTGATCAAACCAATACAAAAGAGGAGCCAATAGAAAACAGGAGAAAATACTAACAGTAAACAAATAAAATAATCATTGAACTAAAATAAAAAGTGTGATATAAACATCTATGCAGACTCCTTTAGTCAATAGATGGAGAAACCAACATGGGTGTTATGGCAGCACCATGACTTTAGCGGCAGATCTTCACCAGCTTTGTTTATCTAGACTAGGGGTGGAACGGTTCACAAAATTCACGGTTCGGTTCGGTTCGCGGTTTCGTGGTCACGGTTTTCGGTTTGGTTCGGTATATGTTGATCGCTAGCCTGACATGTTGGTCATTTTGCTGTTAGCATAAACAAAACGTGTTGCACAATGCTTGCACACTGTTGCACTTTTATCCACAACTTTCTTTCCGCTGTCATCGTAGGTCACTCTAAATGCAAAGTGGTCCCATACAGCAGACCTATAAAGTGCTGCTGGCGCGTCTTCCAACTCCTGTTCTTTCCCACCCGCCATACCCACACAATTCTCCACAACAACTGATTTTTTTTCTGCTACACCCAGCTACGCTGCTTCGCTTCTTCTTCTTGTTTACTACTGGTGGTTGGCTTTGGTCTCAGTACCGCCACCTTCTGCTCTGGAGTGTAATCGCTTCGCCTATGAGAAAAAAGAGCTGCGCATGAACCGAACGCAACACACGCAAATCGAACCGAGTGGTTCGGACGGTTTTCAAAAACCGTTCCATCCCTAATCTAGACTGGAAGTTAATCCTTCAGAAAGTATTTAATCAGAATGGATGGAGAAGTTCTGGACATTAATGTCTGAGTTGTTTGATATTTGGGGTCTATTTAGACGTAATCGTGCTTCTGTCTGAGCCACTCCATTGTAGTTCAAACGCCCCGGTCTCCAGTCTTTTTGCATCCACCAATACATCTTATTCTAGCTTTTTTTGAATATTTAAATCTGTTAGAAAGAGTTTTTAAAAAAGCATACCAACTATATAATGATATAACCTTAATTTTTGTCTTTTGTAGATTTTTGGTTTTCTGCCAAGCAGACCGTTAGCATGTAAATGATCTAGTCTATGGACATCTGACTGTAGCCACGTCTTCCATATGTTTGCTATTCAATGCATGTCTTAAGTCAGATTTATGTGCAAACTATTGGTTGAACCAGGAATTCTAACTCAGGAATTCAAACTCTGCCAATACTTTCTAAATGTTACATCCTCCCCGAGACGTGCGTTAGATTTAATCGTAGGGGTAACCGAGTGAAGGGGTTGATTCACAAAACCTTTAAGACTGTTATTTGATGGAGAGACCTTCTGAAATGCAACATTTTGACCAAAAGGACACTGAAATCAGACAGGGATGATTAAGTAGATACGTAAAACAAACAACAGGCTATTTAATTTGCCAGCTCTGATCTTAACTCTGCAATATGTTCAGCAAGTAGAAAGCTTTTCATGCAAAAGGTTTAAAAGAGAAGATTTTCTGACAGTTAATGGGTCATTGAAGCTGCAGGTCGAATGACGGTACAGATGCTCCCAGCTGGTAAAAGGGGAGTGCATTCTGGGATGGCTAAGTAATCCCCACCAGCGATGGCTCTGGGGTGGTCCGGTCCATCTACTATCCTGAAGCGCGTCGTGAGCCAGCACTAAAGATGTAGGTAGCCGGACCTGCGCTATTGTCATCCTCATTACGAGCACAGTGAAGCCTATCACTTAGCTATAGGGGGAGGGGGGGACAGTGGATGGGCAGACACATTAAGAGAGAGGGTGCCAAAGCATCAAATTTAAGTCGAATTTGAATTTCTCCAGATTAAAGAGTTGTAATAAAAGATCGCCTCTGCTATCAGATAGAAACTGGCTCCGTTGGAGTTCATGGATTCAATTTTCTTCAATAATTTGATTACTTTTTTTTTGTAAATTTAAATTTAGCGTTTGTGACCAATACACAAAGTTGTACACTCACCGGCCACTTTATTAGGTACCCCATGCTAGTAACGGGTTGGACCCCCTTTTGCCTTCAGAACTGCCTCAATTATTCGTGGCATAGATTCAACAAGGTGCTGGAAGCATTCCTCAGGGAGTTTGGTCCATATTGACATGATGGCATCACACAGTTGCTGCAGATTTGTCGGCTGCATATCCATGATGCAAATCTCCCGTTCCACCACATCCCAAAGATACTCTATTGGATATAGATCTGGTGACTGTGGAGGCCATTTGAGTACAGTGAACTCATTGTCATGTTCAAGAAACCAGTCTGAGATGATTCCAGCTTTATGACATGGCGCATTATCCTGCTGAAAGTAGCCATCAGTAGTTGGGTACATTGTGGTCATAAAGGGATGGACATGGTCAGCAACAATACTCAGGTAGGCTGTGGCGTTGCAACGATGCTCAATTGGTACCAAGGGGCCCAAAGAGTGCCAAGAAAATATTCCCCACACCATGACACCACCACCACCAGCCTGAACCGTTGATACAAGGCAGGATGGATCCATGCTTTCATGTTGTAGACGCCAAATTCTGACCCTACCATCCGAATGTCACAGCAGAAATCGAGACTCATCAGACCAGGCAACGTTTTTCCAATCTTCTATTGTCCAATTTCGATGAGCTTGTGCAAATTGTAGCCTCAGTTTCCTGTTCTTAGCTGAAAGGAGTGGCACCCGGTGTGGTCTTCTGCTGCTGTAGCCCATCTGCCTCAAAGTTCGACGTACTGTGCGTTCAGAGATGCTCTTCTGCCCACCTTGGTTGTAACGGGTGGTTATTTGAGTCACTGTTGCCCTTCTATCAGCTCGAACCAGTCTGGCCATTCTCCTCTGACCTCTGGCATCAACAAGGCATTTCCGCCCACAGAACTGCCGCTCACTGGATGTTTTTTCTTTTTCGGACCATTCTCTGTAAACCCTAGAGATGGTTGTGCATGAAAATCCCAGTAGATCAGCAGTTTCTGAAATACTCAGACCAGCCCTTCTGGCACCAACAATCATGCCACGTTCAAATTCACTCAAATCACCTTTTTTCCCCACACTGATGCTCGGTTTGAACTGCAGGAGATTGTCTTGACCATGTCTACATGCCTAAATGCACTGAGTTGCCGCCATGTGATTGGCTGCTTAGAAGTTAAGTGTTAACGAGCAGTTGGACGGGTGTACCTAATAAAGTGGCCGGTGAGTGTAAATCACCAAGCCAAACAGCTGTGACTCACTAAAAGACTGTTTGTTTTCAGCTTAATAAACTGTACAGCTGATTGTAAGATTGTCATTTTCTAATAGACTGATTGACCTTATTGAATTATTACCTTTCACGTTATGGAGATTAACCCTTCTATAATTGCACTGTAGCTTTCTTAAAGCAAATACTGATGCCCACTCCTAGGAAGTTAAGAACAGGTTAGCAAAAACACTAAATGGGTGTGCAGGTGGCACAGGGGTTAGCGCTAGTGTTGTGCCGATGCCATTTTTTGGCCCCGATATTATACCTGGCTGCGCAGTTTCGGCTGATACCGATACCATCTGTTTGAAATTTATGTGTGTGTGTATATATGAAGAACTGCATACTACTTAGATGCAAAATATTTGCCATCATGGCTTTTTCAAGCTGCTGCCTACCTTTGTGAAGCAGGAAAAAGACTAATACAAAGGGACTCCAGTAGAACTTTTTATTGCCTACCTGGAATGGGTGACAATAGTTGAATAAAATTTTGGCTCTCAAAATTGCATCAGTGCCCTATTTGTTGGTACTAGCCAATACAGACACCACCATTTTAGTGCTTTATCGGGGCCCCGCCCGATACTGGTATCTGTATTGGTGCAACTCTTGTTAGCGCGCACGACCCATGTACGGAGGCCTTAGTCCTCGACACGTCCCACCCGGGTTCGAATCCAACCTGTGTCCTTTGCCACATGTCTCTCCCCCTCTCTCATACCCCCTT